CTCCCGTCCCCAAAACCGCCACCGTCGATCTGACTCCGCTGCTTCATGATGAAGCAAGCTTCGCGCCGACTCGGTTTGTGCTAGACGCCTGCACGTGGTTCCGGATGCGCCGGAGTCGGTACTTGTTCCTCCTGCTTTGCTCTCCTATCCTCCTCCCTCTCCTCTGCGCGACTTTTCCTCTACTCTGCGCCGCGGAGTTCTGCTTCTGGATTTGTCGCTGGAGGAGGCGGAGGAAAGCGGCTGCGCGGCAGTGGAGAGAAGAAGAGGAGCGGCTGCGGGGATGCGAGGAGGGGTGTGGGTGCAATAATGAAGGGGAAGAGAGGGAGGTGGGGTTGCTGCATCGGTACTTGGAGGATCAACTGATGCTGGTTGGATCTGTATACGATTGTGGTGACGATCGGGATTCCGATGGCCTTGATTATAAAGTTCCTCTTCTGCGTTAATTGTAAATGTCTTTTTTTTTTTTTTTTCTTTTTTTAATTCTGATTTTGAAATGTAGACTGTAAAGTAGGTTATGAACACTAATTTGTGATTTTTCATTTTTGTCCGTTGAAATTCTCAGGGTTTTTTGTTTTTTGTTTTTTTTTTTGTCCATCCTATATCCAATGATAAAAAAGTAATGGTTGGATAATAATTATAATATTTTTTAAAAAAATGTAAAATTTTAAACTAAAAAATTAACTTTTGTTTCATAATTTAAATAAATCAATAAAAAATTAAATACATCACATTCATAATTAAAATAAAAATTAAATTCATTATTTTTAAGATAAAAAATAATAATAATTAATCAATAATTACTTCTAAGGTCATAGGATGAATATATTTTTTTTTATTTGGGCACTGAAATTTCCATTTTCTCCTTGAATTTGTGTTTTTTGTTTTAATCTTACCACAAGGAAAATCAGTTATACAAAAAAGAAAAATGATGCATGAAACAGAAAAAACAAGAAAAAAATAAAAAGGTTATAGTCTCAACTCTCAACTTCACAATCTAAATTACTAGACGGATGAATCTTTAATATATATATATATATATATATATCTCAATTTGGATAAAGGAAGCAATTTTCTTTAACTTAAAATCTATTCTATTTATAAATTATGTGATATAAATTTAAAATTTTTCATAAATAAACAGCAAATCATTAATATTAGAGATTATATTTTTTAATTTAATTTTTATTTTAGAGTCTATTATACAGTTAAAATAGCAGAATATATATATATATATATATATAATTCTAAATATTTTAAGTAAACTGGACCAGACTCGTACACACAGTTGGCAGAAGGAAAAAGCAAGACCAGACTCTGATTTGCATCTGATCATAGTCCAACAAAGGCCCAATATAGCAAAGAAAGCCCATAAAGAGGCCCAATAACAACTACCATGGTTCCAGACTAGAACACTTTAAGGGCATGCTTAGTTTAGAGGCCACTTTTTTTGGGGAAAAATTTTTAGCTGGGATGGCAGTTAGTAAGGTATTATACAGAAAATTAATAATTTTTGTGACGAAGTTTTACTGATATAACATTTTTTTTTAATATTTGATAAAAATTGATATTGAAAAATTGGGGAGAAAGTTGCCAAGTGAATATCAAATCTAGAACGTTGGAGGGAATTTTTTTTCCATTTAAAATTATAAGAAGAAAACCAATAAATATTTGGCTAAATTTATAATTTAAGACCTTGATTTTGGGTTAAGGTGGGGGATTTAAGTCCCTGAAAGGCTATCATACCCAAAAGCTAACTTTCAACAATTTAATTAAAAAATATGTGAAGAAAGAATTATTTAACAAAATTGAGTTACTAAAAATAAAAGTTTAAAATGCCAACTTTACCTTAATTTGATATAATATTATTGTGTTAAAATGTTAAAATACACCTAAACTTTATTCGTAAGATGAAAACATAAAAAGAAAAAGAAATAGAAAAAGTTAAAAGGAACAAACTGAATTAATACCAAAAGTTATGAAGTAACTAATAATTTTAAAATAGGGGTAACAACAATGTTAATAAAACTAACTTAATTTAGAGTTTAATATTTTTTAGTATAAATTATACTTTTAATAATGTACTATTCAACTTAAAAAAACATTCTTTTATACATCTAATGACTTATACAATATAATGAAATGTAATTCTCTACATCTATGTTAAAGTTTGAACTTAAATCGTTAAATTACACTTCCTTTTTTTTTGGTTGAAATAGAGTAATTTAAGAGAATAGAGAACAAAGGCTATGTTTGGTACAATTGGTTGGAAGTCTTTTTAGAGCATGTTGGTTCAGCTTCCAAATGCTTCAACATTTTGACATTATTCTGTTTCATAAGTTTAAATTTCTCTTTAAAAAACTTGTATTTTTAAATTTTCTTTCAACCTTAAATCATAAACAATAAAAGTTTAAAAGTTTCAAACTTTTACTTTTATAAACTCCTTTTCTACTCTTTTTTTACTCATTTTTTTCTATCTCTAAAAATAACTCTTAAATTTTTCCTCCAATAAAAATTTAAACTTATCACTCATAAATAATACAAAAGAAGTAAAAGCTCTTATAAACTAATCCAAACATGTTCTTAGACTCCAAAAGTTACCGTTACACCAAATACTATAATTTGTAAAAAATGTTATAACTAATTCTCACAAGTTACTCTTTTGTCCATTTCATTGCAAATCTCAAAAGCACCAAATTAGTGCTTCTATAAAAGCTTTTCATTTGGATTTTAATAAAATTAATATATTATTCCTATTTTACCATTATTTTTTTTATTTACAAAAATAACATTTCTACAATAATTTTTTCTTAACAGAACTTTTATTAAAAGTTCTAACCACACCAAACGGACACAACATCTATGAAGTTTTAATATGCATCAACAAAAAATGATATCCACTTATATTAAGGGTCGTGGCCATTAAGCTACAGTGTGGAATTCAAATTTCATTCTATTAGTGCTCAATAATATTTTATGTTGCGTGTTTATTGA